CACAACACCCTAATGTCCTAATATCGCACTTTCTCTAATTTGTCTTGAAATGCAAATAAAAGGGGGGATGGAGGGTGCTTACTCCCTTGTCTAGGGAATAAATAGAAGGTAGGAAAGGTTAGCCTGGTTTTTGGCCACTTTGTAGCTCTTGTCAGATAAATGGGTATACATTTAAATAATGAATGTATTAAGATTCAGAAAATCCAAGGACACAGCCAAAAAATTACACTCAGTGATATGTGAAATAATCGGAGCAGGGAAGAAACAATATCAGAAATAAAAGGCTGTAACAAATACTGTGTGAATTCCATTGCGTGGAAGGGCTTGGGAAAAATGTTGATTGGGCGGGGGTGGGGGACAAAACTTGCAGGTTAGGATGATGTCAAGGATACTCTCAAGTGAATTTCTACATAAAGATAATAAGCACACTTAAAAAAGTATAAATATGTGAAATGCGGCATCAATTTAAAAAATCTTATTAATTGAAATATATATGATTATTATTATTTGTGTAGTTGAGTACTCTTTTCTTAGCAGATTACTCTCTTGCCATGCCCGTTTTGTCATTTCCAAACCTTACATTTCATCCACTTCTACTTCTGACCAAATAGTTAATTATGCAAAATCTGTAGTTGAAGGAAGTGTAAAAGCTAAAGTTACCAACAAGTTATCATAGAAGAAAGGCTCATGTGACTGCCTCTTTTGTCTTTCTAGCATGTAAACATAATAAACTATGATTCAGCAGTCTTGGTATATCATGCCATTTACAACCAGTGTGTTGATAAAGTTGTACTATTAACCCCTTGTTCATGGATGGCATCTACTATCATTCCTTGGTTGACATCGCTGAAGCTGAGAGGAATATTATATGTATGAATTCAGTGTCATAGTAGAGTATATACCTACACCCCATCATGTGAGCTCAATTTTGGAACACATGTTGCTAGTAAAAAGAGTGGCTCCACATAGTGTCAGTGGTGTATCTCTGTTTAGTCTTTTTCATCATTATCATCTCATTTTAGTCATGCATATAATGCAGCCTCATCTTTATATGGGTTTCACAGGCTTTTCATAGTCTGTACTACCAGCACTTCTTGTCAGTTGTGAGGCTCTCATCAGTATTTTAGAAGTAAGGAAAACATTTGGGTTTTATTAGGAATGTATACCACATCTTTATGACTGCAGCACATTTTTGTTAAGATTTGAACTGCAATATTCAAAATGGTTTTGAAATAAATATCTATTTCTTTTCAATCTCCTTACAAGTTTATTTTAGGTACTTTAGTTGAAGAAAGGCAATGCTCTTTTTAACCCATTGCCGCCAGGGAAAATGAAGAAAAAATGGGGAAAATGCTGTGCTCATTTTTTATATGTTTTGTGAAATGTCTCTACACATAGATGGCCCTGCCTTACCTGATTTCACCTTTCATTGAATTGGCGGAAAAATGTAGTTTTTACTAGTGCTATGAATATCAATGGCGTTATTTTTATTATAAACATTATAATTACTATAATGTTATAAACATTAGTAATAGCAAAATAAGGTAACATAAAATATTTTCGTAAATCAAAGAAAAGGGTAAATGGGGGAGACAGGCAGTACTTGTAATTGGCTCATTAGTGATTTAGTACAAGTGTAGCCATCTATATGTAAAACCAATTAAACAAGTTAACCCACCGTGGGCATGGCATTAACACATGACATGCCCATCGCGAATGGGTTGTGAAAGAAAAGTACAGGTAGATGGCTCCACAAGTTCTTATCCACCAAGGAACCTATTAATAAACCTACCTGACTTCACCTGTTCTCCCCTTTCCTTAAGTTTTTTTATTCTACGTTGTGAGGCTCTCATCAGTATTTTAGAAAACAGGAAAACATTTGGGTTTTATTAGGAATGTATACCACATCTTTATGACTGCAGCACATTTTTGTTAAGATTTGAACTGCAATATTCAAAATGGTTTTGAAATAAATATCTATTTCTTTCCAATCTCCTTACAAGTTTATTTTAGGTACTTTAGTTGAAGAAAGGCAATGCTCTTCTTAACCCATTGCCGCCGGGAAAATGAAGAAAAAATGGGGATAATGCTGTGCTCATTTTTTATATGTTTTGTGAAATGTCTCTACACATAGATGGCCCTGCCTTAGCTAATTTCACCTTTCATTGAATTGGCGGGAAAATGTAGTTTTTACTAGTGCTATGAATATCAATGGTGTTATTTTTATTATAAACATTATAATTACTATAATGTTATAAACATTATAATTACTATAATATTATAAACATTAGTAATAGCAAAATAAGGTAACATAAAATATTTTCATAAATCAAAGAAAAGGGTAAATGGGGGAGACAGGCAGTACTTGTAATTGGCTCATTAGTGATTTAGTACAAGTGTAGCCATCTATGTGTAAAAACAATTAAACAAGTTAACCCACCGTGGGCATGGCACTAGCACATGACATGCCCATCGCGACTGGGTTAACACATTGCTGCTG